CACAGTCACGACTGGGAACAATGCCGATATCTGGATAAGATACACCTGATTTTGTTGTTTGTGGCTCTCAAACAGTGGTCCACAGCTTGGCACTTGTGATGGTGTAAACATGACTGGAAATGCCGTAAATGTCCTGCTAAAAAAACACGGTTCTGTTTGTTGGTCTCGAAAAAGAGTCTGCAGTGGTCTGTAGCTTGGCAGCCGTCTGTTAGCAAATATACATGTAATCAGAACCAAGCTACTTAAAACAATTAAAATGATACATTTGAAACACAGAAATGTAACATATCTGTGGTTTGCAGAAACATACAATGTCAACATTTCCCTCTAGTGACTGGGCTGTCCCTGTTGGTTCTGCCTAGTACATCTCCTTACTGGGTGTCCAAATCACCAAATGGTTTCTCCCTGACCGCCCGCAACACAATCCACAAGGAAAGACACTTTGCAGATGAATCTTATTTTTTGTCAGTAGGATTTAATCAAGGAGGCTTATCAGATCAGACAATATTCTTGATGATGAACACATTACTGCTACTACTTACATTACAAAGTGTAGAACCACACTAACTATGCAACTGCTCTGAGAAAGAATGAAAGAAATATGTATTTGTTTAATTGCAACTGAATGGAAAACCTATCAGATGGGGTACAATAAATGATTATTGAGCTCAGACATAGAACTGTAATAATATGAGAGCAACAGATGACTCTAAAAAACAGAGGTACTTACAGTCTGTCAGACTCTCAGCCATGTTAGGGACCCTCTTCACCAGCAGCCTGGAACACATGAAATATAGACATCATTTTGAAAATGCTTCAGTGCTACAATAACTTACCATGACCTAGGACGTATATCTAGTATTTTTTTAAAGAATTATAATAGTCTTACACTGTAACAAATATGCATCCCAATCCAAAGACAGAACTTACATCCATGCAACATGCGAACACTTCAAACGTGTTACACATACAGTACAAGAAGAGATAAACTTTCAACATGGACCATGTGCCAGGAAAGATGTTTATCTTGTGTCTGTGATCTTGGAGTGCATAGAAACAGCCCACGGACACCAGATAGTGACCGCTGACAGGCGATATCTTCTTCTTGTGTTCGTCACAGGCTTGGCATTTCCCCTGGCGAGGACAAACACAGATGACTGAAAATCTAGCTCACCCTGCGACCTTGACCATCTTGGGTTCAAAGGTCTCCACATGCTTCAGAAGGGCCTTCATGGTCTTTCCTGTGTCAACTATGGCCTGAGGGAAGGGAAGAGCAAAGGAAGAGGGAGAGATGAAGAGGGAGGGATGAGGGACATTTGAGTTCAGAATGCTTTGAAGGGGGAAAAAATGGCAGCCAAATATGCAGATCTTAGGATGAAGAACTTCTACCTTGATTAACTATGCAATGAATAAAGAACTACTGGGTATGTACTACTACTGGGAAATTGGAAATTTTCAGTGACATAATTTTAAGATGCCTCCCATTCAAAACTGATTCTTGCAGTAAACACATATTGTAATATCGTGCTTATGTGTTTTTGCCTTTGTCCAGAAACATTTACAACTGAAACATGATCTCGAAGAGAGGGGAGTTTTTTCTTTTTGTCCTTTTGTAGACCAAAACAAAAAAGCACAATGGCTTCTAAGACAACAAGACACCAAATAAGGTGCAACAAGACATTAACAAAGGCATCAAACAAGGTGTAAATATAAAGGTCATGCTTGATAGAATTAATTTAGTTTACTAAAGAGGCAACACTGAGGACACTCACCTCGACAATGAGCACACTCTTGGTAACGTGTAAAAAAAGAGAAGACAACCATTAGTAAAGCATCACCTTTGAATTTTAGCACAGTTCAAGCAAAGTGAAAACAAAGGCAAGATTGTGTCTGTGAGATCTACATTTCTTACAGACGGTATCTATAGCAACAATGTTGGCAGCAACATCGGCGCCTCCACAAAAACACAGAACAACTCATTCTCTCCTCAACAGTAATGAACATCTGTGTCTACAGTGAGCAAAAGTCACTTCTAAAGTGTCCGGGTGTTGCACACTTTCCCTGCTGCAGGGTTTCAAATGACTCCTTGTTCCCTTGGCCGGGTGTATGGGGCTCTTTGTGAGACCAGTGGAGAGTATCTATGGTTTGGGGAGAGTGATCGGAGAGAATGCAGGCGCCTGGCCAATGTTCTCTGGGTCTACACCTGAACACTGTTATACAACACTCAGAGAAAGTCAACAGGGAAGTGTTAACAAACATGAAAACTTCAACATAACTAACCTGTGTTGATGGATGCTGCAATCTGTAAAGGTACTATACAGCCAGGTGGACAATAACTGTGCACTGGCAGTTATTTGACTGTGTTTAGCACCATTGTTTGGGAATTTATAGTCCTCCTTAGATCCCTGGATCTCAGTCGATCAGTCCTGACTCTGGCAAAAACTTTGTTGATAATCAATCATTGCTACTGAAAGTATGCACTGACTAAAAACCTCTAAAAGTACAGAGAGCCGAAGAGGGCCAATTCAAAACACTGGCCACGGTGTTTATTTTCTCTTTATCTTCTCCCAGGGTCAGGTAACAATTTAAGATTGTAAATGGTTCATTAGTTGGAAGAGTGACGGGCAGATTCACAAAAGAATTTTGCGGCTGCAAAACCTGCACAAAAAAGACAAAAGACACCGTGTAATTCTCAAAGCAACTGCAAAGGATGAAACCTAACTGTGCTGCCAAGCAAATGGCGTCTTGGTGCTCCTGTGCTATTGCATGTATTTAAACAAGGTAATATCCATGCTTCTGGTGCAAAATTGGCCCCTGTCTATGCAAATGAGCCATCCAATACACAAAGATCAGACTTCATAGCCCCCTCTTCAGAGAGTTGGTGTTTACTGAGGCACACTGACAGACTGGGATGATAAATCCCAAATCTCACAATTAAATTCCTTGCCTGAAGTTATGAGGAACGTCTTTGCACCCCATCAGTCAGGACGTGTAGCTAGCGGCCCAAAAATTTCAGTTTTCCCTCTGCCTTTGTTTTGCCTGATCGTGATCTTGGTGCAAAAGCAACATTTTCCACATGGATAACTGCAGTCAGACGCAAAGAAAAGGGGCAAACTACAGTCATCTGCAATATCTAAGTGGAGTAACTTTTGTGAACTGGACCTTACAACGGGGCAGACAGCTGTTGCAAGTGATGTGCACTTTATGGTGCTATCAGCTACTGCAATATATTCTTTGTAAATTCACCCCTAAGAGTCTACAGCAAACCAAGTGCTTATGTTTATGTCATGCATGCTACTATTTAGCAGTGTAATGATCATTTCAACCTGATGATGGCACTAGAGGAAAAGTCAGGGGATTATCAAAGTTATTACGGTTCATCCTGAGGCTGGGAACATGAACGAAAATTCATGGCAATTCATCCAATAGTTGTGACATTTTACTCATAACCTAACATAAATGTTAACCTCATGGTGGCGCAAGATCATTGTTGCCAAAATCCGCCAATGGTAGCCCCCAAAAACATTTTATGTGGCGTCCATACATGACATGAAATGCATTCATTAAATGTGAATCATTTGCGGCCCATTTTAATACTTTCACTTTCAATAGCTTATATTTAATACACTACTAGGAGAATGCATGAAACTGCACCCCCCTAATGAGCGTCTTTCAGGTTTTATTAGGAAGGACAACTTGTTGCTCATTTGTGGCAACTCATGAGTGGTGCCGAAGTAAAGTTCTGTCATCTGGGCTAGTGCTCTTAGCTAAATTTAGCGTTTTCACTGGACAACTTGCAATTGCACTATTCATCCCTCGACAATATGCTGGCTCCATAAATTGGCATCAAACCTTTGAGCACCCATGTGCTGGATGAAAAGTTAGCATTAGGATTCATCATCTGGGGACTATGAATGTCTATACAAAATTACCTGGACATGAGCATTTGATAGTTGTTGAGAAATTTCAGTTTGGACAACAGATTGAATGGAATATTACAGACTGACATTCATAAACATAAATCTTGGACAATGATTTAAAATGTTTTCTATTTCTTTGTGAACACAAAGGGGTGCTATGACTTCCATCAGCCTCAAGCAGCAACAAATCATCTCTTCCTCAGCAAAAACAGGTATTTCATCCATGCTCCAACAGCTCCATTTAACGCTGTGCTAAATTTAAACTACTCAGATTACCATATTAACACTTGGGATTAAGACATCTGAGTGTTAGGAATCCACTGTGAGTAACAATTGCATGAGAAACTTTCAGCAGTGCCGGTCAATGCTGCTGGCCAGGATTCAATTCACTGAAACCAGAGAGCTTGCTCATGCCACCCCACTCTTCAACATAACATTTACTTTTTATATGCTGTCATTAAGTTACCCTGATCATTGCACAAATTAATAGGTTTAGAAGGAGCAGTGTCAGCAGCACCACACTTATTATCTACCTGGAGCTGTGACTCAACAACGTTTCAGTGCAACAAAGACAGATGACTCATGATTAGTTTTTGATTATATGCTGTAAGAGACTTTGTGGGAGGTTTAATATTTTCACCAAGGTGAAGGATGTAACAAGAGCACTGACTTTTGTAGCACAGACAAAGTGGAGTGATTCATGTGTTCTGTGCAAGGTGGCGACCAGCTTTTCTGGTTTAACTCCCACTGACCTTTTTACCCACGCTGAAAATGCGTCTTAGCTACAGCACATGCTGACATCTCAGTTAACAGTGTTCAGCATCAGTCTCTTTAAAGCTAACATGTCTGGGCATATTTGCGCACTCATTCAGCTGAGTAAGTGAAATCTCTGTCTCATGCCTATCTCAGAGAATCATTCCTCTTGATCCCCTGTCCTCTGCAGACTCGTCAGTCCTCTGTGCCAGAGCTCAACAGGGATGAACAGTCAGTAAATCTGCCTTGTGGGAACATTCGTTTTCCTGAAACGTCTGATTCATGGTGCGGCTGGTGAAGGGCAAACCACTTTAACAAAGTGACACTCAGGAGGCGTGCATGAAGAGGACGGCTGTGAGGAGAAGGCTTAAAAAACTGAGGTGCAGGGGTGTGTCCTGGTCCAAGGGCAAGTTTGGGGCAATGACAATATATCTGAAACACTGTTACTTATTGATTGAGGATGAGAAATGTGATTGTGTTTTGTTATTTTAGCTAAAAGATTCAATGTATTCTCAGAAAGAAAGTCTCTATTGTTCACCTGTGTGTACCTGACAGTTGACTGACAGCTCCCTCTTGAGGCCGAGGCTGTTTCACTTATAGGAACAGTCCACCCCAAAATCAGAATATTTTTCCTAATACCTGTGGTTATATCAGTCTAGATTGTTTTGGTGTGAGTTGCCAAATGTTGAAGAGATGTTGCAGAGGTGTGTCTACCTTCTCTCCAATATAACAGGACTAGTTGCCACTCGGCTCATGGTGATCAGTTTATTGTAGGAACTATTTTCTTTCTACTGAACTACACCCGCCAAGTGAGTCACCGCACAGAAGGAAGCGTGCATCTACTGCTAGCTCACCTAGCACCACTGAGCTAGCTAACCTTGGGGACTGCCTAATGTTCCGACGGCCCAAAATTCCGCAGCCCTGTTGGTCTAAAAATGTCCCACTGAACGAAAGCACATTTCTTGCATTTCATATCTCTTTGTAGTTGTGGTTTTGTGTGTCTCTGTGGTCATTTTGTTTCTCCTTGTTGTTTGTTTTGTGTCTTTCTGTAGTCGTGTGGGACTCTTTGAGGCCATTTTGTGTTTATTAAGGTATTTTGTGTTTCTTTGAGGTAATTTGAAGTCTTTTTTGGTCATTTTGCCTGTCTGTAGTGATTTAGTTCTTAATTTGTGTCTCTTTGCATTGCCTTTGCATCTCTTTGTGGTCTTTTGGGAATGCTCATTGCTTTTAACTCCTGTTACTACAAAAATACACACTCAAAACAGTTAAAAAATGGTTCCATTGTACGTTTCTGTAACAACAGGTACGTTACATGAGTCAGCAACGCTGTGGTGAAGGTGTGGTTATGTTTAGGCACAAACCACTTGGATATGGTTGGGAAAAGATCCTTTTGACACTAACTGCAGGAGTGTGTTTTTTCTGAGAAACAGGACCTCGAAGCAATGGGGCTTTGTTTTTGGGATAAGGGCCGTTGGAGTAATGAGCGTTCGATCCAAAGTCATTTTCCGCGTTAATGGGGCTTTGGAGTTTTGGGTCGTCGGAACTGTGGCATGGCACCCTAACATTACAGCTAAGCTGAGGAAGACGCCATTTATGTTTGCATCTCACACTGTCATGAGCACAAGCCTCTTGTCAGTGAGTAGATGCACACTTCCTTCCATGCTTTGATATGGTTGGCGGGTGTAGTTCCGCAGAAAGAAATTAGTTCCTACATAAAACTGCTGATCTGATTTGGGGCGTGAACTGTCCCTTTAACAGAAATCAAAATACTGACAAAGAGCACTGCCCCACTGAACGCATAATATCCACAGCTACGTAGGAAACTTGATTACACACACCTTTCCACGTAGGAAAGACAGATCTCGGCTTCCTATGATGTGCAGCTCCTCTGTCGATTGGTCATTCTGGGGGCAGAGAACACAAAAATGGAAAGATGATTCGTATTATGCAGTTATTCTAAATAAAGTATGTCTCAAGTTGTTCACTCTGTGCTGAAATCAAGATTTATTCTTTCCAGCGGCCAGAAATGACAATAAATGCTGTCAGACTGGGAATGAAATAGCACACTGTATGTTTTCTCATGGACACGTAACTGGAGTGTTTCTCAATAATTTGGCTCTACTGCAAAATACGTAAGAAAGAACTGTCTGCAGCAAAAATGCCACACAAAATTTATTTTACAAGACTTTAGAGTGCAAAATATTACCCTCAACATAAACAAAGACAGGCTCTCTCCATCCCTGTGGGAAGCACAGCGAGGCAAAGCTTTGAAGGATGGCTTTGAAGGCTTTGAAGTTAGATTTGGTCGGCTACAGATGCATCACTTGGATAAGAGGAGCAGTGACATGGACAAAATCCTGGCCCTGGGGGCAGGTCACATAACTCCATCATGACCTGTGAGACTGACTAACAGCGTCATCACTCAGACACTGTCCTCTAGTGTCGTAATGGTGACTCTGCCATGTTGTTTGTTGACATCAGAATGTAATTATTATGTTTTGGGACTGTTTTAGTGTTTTAATGATTATTTTAGTGTTTTTATTCTTTTGTACAGCCTCATTACTTTTATACTTTATTTTGATTTATTGATTTATGTAAAACTTTTCCCTGCCACAGTGAGACTGATGGTAAAAGCAAATAAGGACTAACTAAATACACAAACTCATCTACCTCATGTTACATGCAATAAAAACTGGAAATGTGCAACACCTAAAATTTGAAAAAACAAACAAACATCTGAATGCCCTGCAGGTGGAGCTTATATTCTTATATTTATCATACTTTTTTATACCTTTTTTGTGCACTTTATCTTTTACTATTTATTACCTGACTATTTCTGACATGACTGTTTTTTGCACAAGAATTCCTGTGTACTCAGACTGTGTCCAGGTGTGCAAATGGCAAATAAAGTTATCTTATCTTATCTTATCTTATATTGTGGTAATGTACTTATTACCAGTTTCACATATAGTTTTAAGCTTGAATTGTGTGTGTAAACTATAAAAAAACAATGTAAGAGATAAAATGTAAACCAGGGTGAAAGCAGATATCCCACTTAGCAGAGAATGAGAAGTTCCTATTTTCTTGGAATTAATTGTGTGAAAGCACAGGATGGATAAATGTGTAATTTAAGGCCATTCAGACAAGGATTTTACCCATTTAGAGTCACTATTTCTTAGTATGAAGACTAAAAAAATAAAGTTAGCAAATGAATTTTTGAGGATTTCTGGTTGAGTTTTCCATACTAGAATGTTAATTCAATGAAATGAGCTGTTTTGTTTGTTGTTTTTATGTGGTTATAGTGTGTGTAAGTTGTGTATCATTGTATGTTTGTGGACTCCAGGAAGAATACAGGATGCTGATGCTAACAGGGATCTCGAGAAAGAAAGAAAGAAAGAAAGAAAGAAAGAAAGAAAGAAACTTATAGCCTTTCATTATTTCCATGTTTGTATTTTTTTTCTTTTTTTTTCTTATTCTATCTTCGTTCTGTGTTTATATCTGTTCATCTGGGTGGCATGCTGCTGCATACAATTGTCTTTACAGGGCTTATTAACGTTGTTTTGAAATGAATTGAATTATGACCTAGTCTTGTCAACTCCCTGCAGGTATATTTTGTTCTTTTTGTCCTATTGCGTGGTAAAAAATCTAATTTGTGACATTACAATATGACCTCACTGTGGCTGAAGCGATCCAGCAAGGCAATAACAATAATTCAGTTTATGCTGTCCATATAGCTCCTTAAACCTCTGTAAAAGCCAGTTCTTAAAATCCTCCCCTGTGCTGAAGGGAGAGAAAAGACGAAATGCAACCACATGCAGAGAAATGTAAATCACATCATTTTGGATGCACTCTGTGCCAAAGTACACTAAAGAATAATAATGGATTGTGGTGACAAGTGCAAAGCGACATCACTGTAAACATTACTACATCACTCCCAGAGTTAATTCCAGGGTTTATGCATTCCAGGTGTTAGACAGTGTCATAAGCTGTTTCTCTTGGCAGCAGCAACAGCACCAATTAGCAGTGTGGTATTTTCATGAGCTGAGCTCTGCAGCAGCTCCACAATCAATCGTCCTTGAGGTGTCCTGCCCTAATGTTGCTCTGTCCTCATGAAACACGAACAACAGTGACATCTGCTGGTGGCTGAGCCAAAGTCAGATGCAATATTTAGTCAGATGTGAGATGTAAAGATGGGAAAGTGTCTTTGGTACATGCATGTAAGGACTGTAACCAAGGATTATTTCGATTATTAGGTTATCTGCCAGTTGTGTTGTCTAAAATGTACAAAAATAATTCTTAAAATGGCTTGAAAATGGCTTGTTTTGCCCATCCAACAGTCCAAAACCCAAAGATGTTCACTTTATCATGTTAACAGTCATAAAAGGCAGAAGATCCTCTCACTTGAGAAGCGAAACCAGTAAATATTTGGCATTTTCACTCAATAAATGGCTTTTAATTAGTTCTCAAAATGATCAGTTTTGTTAGTTCATTTTCTGTCGACTGAGTAATCAAATAATCAACTCACTAAATGTTCCATTTATTCCATAATTTCAGCACTATGTAACTGTATTTTATTGTCTTTTTGGGGGCAATATTTTGCCTTCATTAGAGAAAACAAAGATGGGGAATAACTTGAAAAAAAGGGCTCCTGGCTAGACTTGAACAAGGGACATTGCAGGTCATGGCTAGTGCCACTGAAATAAAGGTTTAAGTGATCAGTCATAACTCAGGTCAGGTGCTTGACATCTATCCGCAATAACCTCTAAGAAAAAAAAAGAAAGAAAGAAAATGCACTCAATTAAAGAAGCAGAGAACAGCTGTGCCTTCAATTATTTTTTTCATGTCATAATCTTGAGATCATGAGTTAATTATTTTGTTATCAGGAGAAAACAAGCTTTGTTTTCACGAGATAATGAAATAATCAAGTCGTTATCACAAGAAAACAAAATGTCGTTTCCTCTTATTACTTATGATGTTTATCAGAGAGCAGGAGTGCCATAGCCGCATGCATAGATGGCGTCTTGACAACTGTAGCGATTGATTTTAGCTGAAAATGTTAGATCAAGGAGTATCTATTATTAATGCATTGGACTCAACTTAAATCAAGGTTCAGTTATGAATCCTCCCCCACAGTCATGACAATGATAAAATCAGGTGTGATCAAATGAACCAGACACTAATTTTAAAGTTCTCCACAACTATCCTTTTGTTTTCTCGTGAAAAATGATGTTGTCATCTTGACAACTCAGCATTTCTATTTGACCTAAAATGACCTGTTATCATGAGTAGTAGCTGTAATGTGGTATATGTTGTGCTGTTTGTAATGGAGTGTAGTGGTATGTGTATTGTAGTATATGTTGTGAATGATGTGATGTGTATTGTGGTATATGTACTGGTGTGAGTATTGTAGTATGTGGATTGTGGTTATGTATTTTATTGTGCCTTCCGTGCTTTTGGTGTGTTGTGGTTTTATGATGTTAAAAACTGTTCATTTTTATTAACATTGTAGGCCTACATGTAAAAGCCTAACTGGGAACAATGTTAATTGAATAATCCCTGTCAAATAAAATAAAGAAAAGAAAATGCAGTGCTCTATTGCATTTGTTGTTTATATAAATATAAGGCAATGTTTAGCTTTGCAGCGCAAATTGTAATGTGATGTGACACAACTTCCTTACTGGTTAATGTCAATCAAACCATGTCGCTCTTTGATTTTTTAAAATTAATTCATTATTTTACTCCTTTACGATCGTTAAATATTATTTATTTATTTACTCGCGACATGGGGAGCAGGGGGCTGCAGAGGGTGGTGGCTGAGTGGACAGAAAAAGCTTTGCACAACTGTATATTGAACTTTCATTTGTCTTTCTTTGTGAAACTAAATAACAATCCAATAAAAAAAACTAAAATAAAATACAAGTAGATCAAAAATAAGTGCAAGCATGGCTGTTATTGGCTTCCATACTCACATACCTTGCTGTAATGTAGTAGTATTTTTGTACACTGCAGTTCACATACCTGGTAGCTCTTCAGACGGATAAACTCCACCCGGGTCTCCAGGTACTTGTTGGAGTTGCGGCCGAGAACCTTGATGAACTCCACCAGGTCTGCACAGAACTTGTAGCCTCCCTTCAAGACACACAGCACCATTATGCTGTCCCCAAAGTCATCCATGACGTAGCCGGCCAGACGCTCTACCCTGCACGAGAAAAATCACATCAAGACAAATTACTAGGAAATTATTTTTTAAAAAGTCACTTTGCAGGTATGTTTATGCAAATTTTTACCTGTTCATGATGACACCATGTGGTATGTAGACACTCTCTATGTCTTCGTGGTAGTGTTCAGGGTAGGTGAACAGGTCCAGGCTGTATCCTGGCCAGTCATCTTTAATCTGGGACAGACATCTTATTGTTAGATGTGTAAGTATATTATTTGGTCAAACAGAAATAAAATATGGTATTTCTTTGCATAATTTTGAGATAGCGCAATAGGAAGTCATGTGGAGGCATTTTAAAAGCCGGGAGTCTTAAAAACTTAAATTCAAAGCAGCTGCCGACAGAACTTCACAGCTTTGTACTCTAGTTTAACAAGCATTGTTATCCCTCAGCATCTGTACCCTTTAAGCTCACACAGCGAAGCATTATAACTACAATTACTGACTTTATCTTAATCATATTCTTCTGTGTTCATGAATGAACACAAACCCTGAAAGCTCTTTAAAAGCTGCTTACTGTTGAATTAATCAAATAATGACTTCAAGGGATTCATTCAGAGAAAAGCAAACATGTTATCTTCTTACAGCAGCTGAGCAAATAATTACACACATAAATAATCTCTCTCTGTTGACAATAATGTGACCTACATTTCTGAATACAGCACGAGATAATCTGGCTGAATCATGTGTTTGTGTTGAACATACCACAATTCCTCTTTTCATGCCTGTGCTGTCCATTTGTAGTGGTGTGAAAATTGTCTTCACTGGGACAAAGACTCAGGATAGGACACAGGTAGCAGTGACCTTCAGAGGAAACACAGACATAGTTCACTGCACATACACTGGATCAAATAAAGAAGGCTTTCCATCTTTCCTTGTAATGATATGGTACAAGAAAAAGCAATAACAGAAACAAGAGAAACATACTCACAGTTCTGTTGCCTTCTTTCCAGCCACCATTCACAAACCAAGGAGGAAAACAAAAGAGTGTCAAAAGATATCTGGGGACGTCCTGTCCTGTCCAGCCTCATGGGCTGTGGGATCACGCTTTAGTCATTTGCATAAAAAGACAGCGTTGTTTTAGTCGTAGAGAATTACAGGGATAATCAGATGCATGTGATGCTGGCTTCACGAGCTGCTGCAGGACAATGAAAACAACTGATAACAAATATTTGCTTCAGTTTCTATGCAGGACATTTTATTCAGTCAGAATTCAACTATTTTTAAGGACACTCTTACAGACTACACAGCCAACTATTTAGTCTTTTGTTCTACAAGAAATCACATTTAAAAGAAACAGCTGTTTGCCATTATATGCAGCTCAAAATGTAATATTTCTATAATATAAAGAGGCGTTAAAGCTACAGTTGGTGACTTTTATGAAAATAACTTTTGTCATATTGGCTGAAACTGTCATACACAGTAAGACAAAATATGTGAAAAAATTAAATTACTGCTCTCAGAAGCACCTCTTAGTGCCTTTAATGGTATCTGCAAGACTGAAAGAAAAGGCCTGAATGAAAACAACCAATCAGAGCACAGGAGTCTTAAAGGGCCTATGTCCACATAGCTTTTTTTTTTTCAAGCTCTTCTTTCAATTATTCCCAATTAAGTCCGACTTATGCGCCCGCATGCAGCTGACTAGAAAAAAAAGTGCCACACCCAGCGTCTTTTTTTTTGCGCAGTCTCTTTTTAGAATGCCATCGGTGTCATCTATGATGCTCCCTTTCAGGAAATCAATCACCTGGGACAGTACTCATCACCCTAAAAACCAAGATGGAGGAGAAGCTAGTTCTGGCCGCATTTATTCGAGCTATATATATTGGACAAAAACCATTACAACAGAAAAGCTCATTTGTGGGCGCAGATCAGACACTGAATGTTGCTGGTGTGTGTTGTGCTTTACACCACACTGATTTAGTGATATCTAAAGCACAAGTACTTGTATAAGCTTGTTAGCTGTGTAGTCAACCCTCTGTTCACATAACATCATCAAACAAGACACTGGGAGTGCTTTCTGCCACAGCTTTTCGGCCAAAGTAAAACAATTATGTGGACACAAGCACTAACACAGCTGTCAATCAGGTCATGAACTGCCAACAAACTGTCAAACTAGGCAACGCTGATCAAATATGAATCAAGATTCCGTTACTGCATTGCCCATTTATTGCCTTAAATGTCTTCACAAACATCTTTTAGGGTACTGTTTAGCTGTAAAATGAGAATTTTTGCTACCTGGTCGCCATGTCAAACTACAGTTGAGCCGAAAAGTGAGCACCACCCACCAGCTGAAGTAAACTTCCTTACTGAATCTTGATTTTTATTTCATCACAATGATTCATTTTGATTCATAAAGTTAAAAACTGTAGCTTTAAATTACAAAATTTCCTTCAAAATTACATTATATTTCACCAAGAGTACATCACTTTAAAAACATGATTTGCCCTGTTAGTGGTACATGTAACGATGGCAATAGTCCATTGTGAATTCTCTCACTGACTGGCCAGACTGCTTTTGAATTTGCTGTGAATTTACACACTCCCCAGAGGGTAATTCTAAATGATTCATTAACTCGCAGTGGAGTTTCATCTATTTTCCATGTTTCATGTGACAGATCATGAGAATATACACATACAGAATTTTATTTTACTCAAGCCCACGTGATATGTGAAGTAAGGGTGTTGGTCTCAAGACAGTACAGTACATCTAATTTAATGTTTTTTAATATCTTAGTTATTGGAGATGTAGATGGTCTTAAACCTCTCGAAGAGGTTGATGTCGTTCTCCAGCTGCTTTATTGCCACTTCCAGACGTTCCTTGTGGGACTTTTTGGACAGGCTGTCTGTGACGAGAGAGAGGCCCTGGTACTCACGGTGCAGCTGATGCAAGTTCTTCCTCAGGCCCTGCATAGTGAACCCACATGGTCAAACACACAACTGTCACAATAAAATCAGCCTGATAATGTGACTGTTAGTATTCAACACTTAATGTAGCTTAGACATATGGTATTAATTCAGCTAGTTGTGACAAAAATCTGCATGGGGGAAACACATACAGTAGGCCATTTTATCCTGATTTATTAGGACTGAAAAAAGTATTTTCCTAAAAACATCAAAGGCATGAAATCATCAGATTAATTTCCTCCAGTTGTATGATTCCCTGCTGTTTTTTTGAAGAGAAGTGGCATCATGCAGCCATGTGTTTAAGTACCTCCAGGACGGCTCGTCGCTCCTCGTCAGACAGGTGTTTCATGACTCCCTGCTCCCGCTGTTCTTTCACAAACTCGTCATACTCTTCCTGTGCTCTCCGCTCTTGTTCATTGCGCTGCTGCAGGTACTCTGGTACCTCTCCGTAATGCTGCAAATAGGAACTGGAAACTTTAGATAATACTTTCACAGTGGCAAGATGGATTAAAAAGGGGAGTGTAATTACGTTTTTTCTATGTGCTAACTGTCATGTAATATTCTATTTTTTTTTTCTAAACTTATCCGACTGCCATAGCTGATTAAAGTGTCAAGTGTTGTAGAAAAATACCTTTTTCTTGATGTATTTGGGGACAAGTCCTGAATTCTCAAGAGGCTGCTTATGTCCTTTGCTGGTGTCCACACAGACAGGCTGGGGCTTCATTGGCACCACTGTAGCTGTCTTTATGAAGTCTCTCTTGGTGTGAATACCCATAGGTGGGATCTCTGTCCTCGCAGGAACAGGCGGTCTCTTCATAGTGCAGGTGTTTTGGACCTCTTTCGAACACTGTGTCTCTGAAACAGCACATAAATTTGAATGAACAACAGATCAAAGATGCAACCACTCACTGGTGAATTAGTCAGTAGGAGAACCCACTTTCAGGTAATTTAGGCTCCTTTGAGTGCTTCTTGAGGTACTTCTCCGGGGAGGGCACCTCTACTTTTGCCGGTCCCATTGTCCTCATTGCACCCTTGTTTGACTTTTCCTCAAGAATAACTGTTGGCCTGTACTTGGACATGTACCTTCAGGTGCAGCACAAGAATACATTCTTTAAACACAATAAAACAGGCTGACAGTAAAATTCAGATTAGTATACTTTCTTTTATTTACATGCCAAAATAAATAAAATGTGTATACAATTAAGACAAACTTTGCAACAGGCAAACATAATGATAAATGCTTCTTATTACTCATTCATTTTAGCTTATTTCTGATATAGGTCAAATGTTAGCCAGGTAACAATAAATATCTTAGCTAATTTCCATCTGGTTTGTCAAAATTAAGGGCCTAACTTCTCCACCCAACTACAGGTCTTTTTAATCTTTGAACATGAACAACTCCTTAGTTACAGCCTGTAGTCTAGCTAACTTGTTTCTGCTAACTAGCTTAGCTACGTGAAGCTAGGTTGATTTAACATAAGGTTTAGAGTAGAGTAGGTACCTTTGCGGCTTTTGAGCATGAACCTCCTCCTTTGTAAGAAGGTTGTAAACGCTTTCTGGTGGATACACAACTTCCGACATTTTGACGGACTTTAAGCAGGCGAAGGATTAAAAAGACACGGTGAAAGTTCACCTAACTAACTAAAAAACTGGCTAGCTAACTTGGCCAAGCTAACATGGACTAAATTCTGGGGTTAGAGTAATTTGTTTCACAACACGCAGCCGGCTAGTTGCTAGGCAACGGAGGGAGCAAATGTTGCGTTACATGACAGTTGTAAAGCTGTAAATTTAGATTCACATGTAAGTAAAGCTAAAGTTCACGAACAGTGTCATGGTTTTGATAAAGGATTCGTATACATCTTTTTTTAGTTATCCAATTAAAACCTTTATTTTTTTCAAATGCTACGGCGCACACAATCTCTGTGCCGCTGAATTACAAATTTATAAAAAATCAGTCTTAACCACAAAAAAGGGTCAGAATATTTTTTTAATTGATTCTGATTCTGTTTCCATGTCTTGCCTTATCATAATTAGCATAAAATTGCATTTTCCTTACATGAAAGTGAGTCTACTTTAGAATTCGGCTCAGCGGAATACAACATTCCGAGGAGCATCTGAATGCAGCACAAAGGTGACTCTAGCTTCTAGCACGTTCCGCGATGCAAAAAACCTATGGTAGTTAAAGTGATTCACGTTCATATATCGTTCAATTTGTAAGCCCCCGGTTAGACTTCATAGAAAATAAAATAGTTGAATTACTGTATATTTTTTGCAACAGGAAATCGACTTCTCATTGAGGATACATCACTTTTGTCCCTCCAGGCTGGCCGTAGTTGTTTGTGACTACTTCACAGTGCAGTGATCCTCCGGTCATGTGTGTTGTAGTGCAGCTGCATGGTGCTTTACCGTTAAAACAAACCATATAGATACCACAGAGTCCATTAAAACATGAATAATCCGGTTTGAAGTACGGAAAGACGCCATTTCACGTGAGTGTCGTGTTCATTCAGCTTATATGATGACAGATCAACTGTCCTGGCTAACACGTGCAAAGTTAAAGCAGTGTCAGGGGGTAGTGTCCAAACATGAGGTGACAAATGTGTTACTTTATTTTAAATGTCCTTATTTTTCACAGGACAAAAGCCTGCTGTCATTTGACTCCTCAATGGGTTTCCTGAATGCATTGAGAGCTGTCAGATGCTACCTCAGCCTCTTTCCAACGTCCAAATCATGCCTCTCCACCAAAGCCTCCCTGCTGGGGGACACAAACATCCTGCTCATGGGTGCTCCTGGAGCAGGGAAGACCACAGTGGGGAGGATAGTGGCCCACAGACTGGGGCTACCTGTCATTGACGTTGATGATGATGTCTTGGAGACGACATGGAGGATGCCTGTGGCTGCCAAGCTGGCAGCAGTTGGTGGTGAGTGTTTCCTGGAGGAAGAAGGCCAGGCTTTGTGTAACTTCTCTGCCTCTGGGTGCGTTGTCTCCCTGACAGGCTCTAACCCTCTTCACGCTGCAGCGATGCAGCACATAAGAGAGTCCGGGCTGGTGATCTACCTGGACGTGGACAGCGAGGACATCATACAGAGACTTGCTAGGATGAAGGTGAACAGGATAGTGGGCCAGGAGGCAGGGGTGTCCATGAAAGACATTCTGTGTTACAGGAAACAGTTTTATGAGAAGTGGCTTGATGTGCGGGTGCTGTGTGGAAAAGGGGACACAGTGGAGGAAGTGGCAGACAAGGTGCTGAAGGCTCTGGAGAGGTATCAGAACCATGCTGCAGAAACATATGTGTCAACCAGGAGTGACAGCGTAGCATCGTCCAATCAAAAAGCATACTTCAGTGATGTGGTAGTTGAGGGTCTGGCCACAGATGGAGGCCTCTATGTTCCCAAAAATGGCTTCCCAAACCTCGATGCTCGTGAATGGCTGAGACTAGTTGACATGTCGTACCCAGAACGAGCATTAGTTTTACTTGAAAAGTGCATACACCCGTTGGACGTCTCTGCTTTGGATCTCAGAACGATGATATTCAAAGCATATGGATCTAACTTTTCTAGTGAGGCAGTAGCACCTGTGAAACCTCTTGTCCACAATCAGTATGTTCAGGAGCTTTTTCACGGCCCCACCGCCTCATTTAAGGACCTCGCCTTGCAGCTGATGCCCCAGCTCTTTGCTTACTGCCTCCCACAGATGTGCAACTACCTCATTCTGGTGGCCACCTCTGGGGACACAGGAAGTGCAGTGCTCAGTGGCTTCAGCAGGCTCAGTGGCGTTGACAAACACAGGACAGGGGTGCTGGTGTTCTTCCCAGAGGACGGCGTGAGTGAGATTCAGAAGCTTCAGATGACGAGCTTCAGGGAGGGCAACGCCAGGGCCGTGAGCATCCTGACAGACTTTGATTTCTGTCAGAGAACCATAAAGAGGATGTTTGGAGAGTCTGGGCTGACCGGACACCTCGCTGTGGAGTATGGCACAGTCCTCAGCACCGCCAACTCCATCAACTGGGCCCGGCTGTTGCCACAGGTGGGTTTATAACTGAGTACGACTCCATGAAAAAAAACACTTTCTGTTATAGGGCTTGTCCATAACAAAGATTTTGACTTAAAGGGTAGGTTTGGTATGTTTCAACCTGGACCCTTTTTCCTATGTTTTCATGTCTAAGTGACTAATTAGAACAACAATATCTGAAATTGGTTCAGTATCACACCATCAATTTACGTCCATTAAATGTGCTCGTTTTTGCCTCTGAAGGGTTGAGATTGTTATTTTAAGTATCTGGCCACTTATGTAAAGCATCTATACAAAGACAGACCTTTTTGTTAAAGAGTAAGATCATTTTGTTTAACCAGAAACGGCTCGAAATTGCCATTGCCAAACTCACCAGATTCCATTTAAATAAACATTCATTCAGTTCATTCAGTCATTTAATCACAGTAAAACACACTTCATTCAAAGCTGACAGAAATAAAATAAAACTCACAAAAAACATCTTGGTTCTTCTTTTCACTGTTCCAACAATTGCCAATCCTGGTTTGGATTAAATAAACCCTTAAATCGCCCACTAAGATGTAAAAATACACTGACTCTGTACAAGCTAAAATTACTGTTTTTTTTTAATTGGAGTCTGGTGGGTTTGGTGATGGTGATGTCAGGGTTGTTTCTGGTTGAATATAAAGGATCTTACTCTTTAACAAAGGGTCCATCTCTTTAGGGATCTGTTCCATAAGCGATCAGACACTTAGAGTAACAATCTGAGCCTGTTAGTGGTAAAAACAATCACTTCAAGTGAACATAAGTTGACAGTGCCCAAATGCCCCAAGTGGTTACATTGCAGCCTGTTTCGTGGCTGCTGGCTGCAGCAGTCTTCCTCAATATTGAACCAATTAAAAAAATTGTGTTCCCATTGGTCATTTTGACTCAAAAACATGGGAACATAGAGTCCAAGTTGGAAAATACGGAAGTTACCCTTTAATGGCAGGGGAAGCTCAGGTGTCACTATAGAGTTGCATACTGGTTTCATCGATGGTTATCACACCTTGTACACTTGCTAATCCAGTGGTTTCCAGCTGATGGGTCGAGGTCCAAAAGTGGGTTGAGGGTCCATTCTGAATGGATCACCAGTGACTCACAAACATGTTAAGTTTGGAACACACACTGCAACCGTAGTTAGTAATAACATTAATTATGGCTGCATTCTATTAAAGTGTGACAGTGTGCCAGCATGCATGATACCAGGAGCCTGAAACTGAAACAGCTAAATGGAATTCTGCCGTCATTCATTGTAATATTAACACCTGTGTTTTTCCTACTGTGACATGAAAAAATATAGTTGGGCTAAAAAATAGTTAGACTATGAAATGTCCAAATGCACGAGGCATAATGCACAAACTTTCCAAGAGGTAACAGTGATGTCTTCAAAATGTTTGTTTATTCTGACCAAAATGCCAAAACCCAAAGATTTTCAGTTAACAGTGATTTAGGCTGCAACAAGGGAATTAACTTACATGTTGAGTCAGACACAGCATCTCTTTAAAATGTCACAGCTTTATTAGACCATTGCACCATCTGTAACATTTCAGAACTTAATATATTTTGACACTGGCAGATAAAAAATGTCTCATATACTTTTATATTGTGGTGTTTTTAATTGATTTGTCATCTGTTGTGTTTTTTTCTACCACTTGATTTTCCCTCATTTGTGCAGATTAAACATAGTTTGCAAAGTTACACTATAAATTTTTTTGTGAGGCAGCAGCTCACTTTATTTGGAACATGCAGTGTGACAGTTTTGTTAACTTCTCCCTGTCTTGCAGGTGGTTTATCATTCCTCAGCCTATCTGGATCTGTGCAGGGACGGTGTTATCAAGTTCGGGGAGCCTGTTGATGTTTGCATCCCTTCTGGTAACTTCGGCAACGCCATGTCAGCCGTGTACGCCAAGCAAATGGGCATCCCGATAAGAAAAGTCATCTGTGCGTCCAACCACAACCGCATCATCACGGACTTTATCACCACAGGCGAGTACGATCTCCGGGGACGGCCTCTGGTGCTCTCCCACTCCCCGGCTATAGATATCCTCAAGTCCTCCAACCTTGAGAGGTTTATCTTCCACGTCTCAGATGGAGACGGCCGTCTGGTCAAGGAGCTGTTCACACGCTTAGACAGGCAGCGGCACTTTCAGGTTCCTGAGCCTCTTCTTGGCAGGATTCAGCAGGAAGTGCTGGCTGGCTGGTGCTCTGAAGACGACTGCTTGGCCGCCATCCAGAGCGTTCACACACAAACGGGCTACCTCATGGACACACACACCGCCGTGGCGAAAGTGGTGGCTGATAGGCTGCAGGACGGTGCGTGTCCCGTGGTGCTTTGTTCCACCGCTCACTACGGGAAATTTGCACCTGCTGTGTTCAAAGCTTTGCAAATCCAGAATATTCCCGAGGATCCCGTCGAGCAGCTGAAGAAGCTCGGATCTACTGCATCCAGACCTGAAATCCACAGAGACATGATGAAGTGCCTGAAGGAGAGTGGCAGGAGGAAACATGCTGTTTGTCAGGCAGATTACGGCGTGTTGGTGGACGAGGTGGAGAGCATGATACAGGACTCCTTCTTGAAAGTTATGTAGGATTGTTTCACCTTAAATTAATGTTGATTTAAATCAGAATTAATTATTTTCAAAAAGTCTTTACGTATCCTGGTTGTATATTGTTTTTTCCCAATTAATTTGTAATGTTTTTAAAGCAAATTTAACAAATAAAAGGACATGAAAGATCAAATCTGGCAAAAAAGAAAGAAATTAAAACAGAAAAAAAAAATCAATGACGCAAAATTGAAGAAAAATCACCACTTATGAGCAGGTGTGATCATGAAATTGATTTTAGAAGACATAATTTAAAAGTCTTCAGCCTGCAAGATTGAGAAAAATGAACAATAATTTCACTCTGATTACACTGTAATAGAGCCCTAAGCTCAATTTAAAGCCTATTGATTATGCAACATTTCTTTACATCATTCTCAGAGCCCTGGCCCACTAGATGGGGGTGTCTACCTCTTAGCCACTGCTGTGGCTGTGTGGGAACACTGGTGCAAGTGTTGCAGTAACCCTGTCACTGTGAGGAGAATTAATCACTGGCAAAGTCAGAAGGTCAAGTAAACTAGTAAATAGTGATGTGAAATCAATATCTGCAGTCAGCGAGATAATCATCTCCTTCCAGTTAATTGTATTCTTATGCATTACAGTGTGACAATACTTATGTGCAGTATATTTCCTTAATGATATCTGTCAAGCTCTGTTGTGTCTTTGTTCAGGACAGTTACTGTATACACTGTAATAAATATGGACATGAAAAATATTTTTAATTATATTAAAATGTTTTATTTACCTAATCTTTTCTTTTTTTATGACTTAAACTTTCTTCGGCTGATGTGAGGAGCGCTGAAGCAACATGGTGGATCTCACAGTGTGGCATTAAAATGCAGCTAATGAATTGGTTTCCACAGTCCACTAATTGCCAGGTGAAGCTCCTGAGCTGGTACTCTCGTCCAATCAGTGTCCACTGTCTCATTAACCACTTCACAGAAGGCAGAAAGGCTTTATTAATATAAAACCTTTTGAACCACATCTGTCCCTTTCTCCTTCACATTTCTTAGCTTTAACACTCAGGACCATAAAGTCTTTAAAAAGACTGTATTAAAACAATAGATGCACCGATACTGATATCAGATCTAAGGCCGATACTGACTTAAATAGCTGGCTCAATTATTAGTTAGAATCTAAGAATCGATCTATTCAGTTCAAATCTATGTCTGATGTGAACGTGCATGTGTTCAAGTCAAGCCTGATGTTGCCTTTCACCTAATCTCTCAAGACAGATTCTGCAATCTACATTGTAGAATCTGTCGGCAGCCCTGTGTGAAAGACGACTAGGGGGGGGGGCTTTGAGTTTGAACGATGCTGCACTTTAGCCAATCACAATGGAGGGGGCGTGGCCAACACATGCAGGTGTCCCCAGGAAATGTGTACCTACAGAAACAGCAAGCTCCGCGCCCATAGCGACTGCTCCACCCAAAACGGCGTCTCGTCAATGTGAAAAAAAATATTTTTTCCAGTGGATGTCTTAGTTACAACATGATTGAGCTAACTGGGGTAGTTTCATGTCGTATCCGACAATGGGAGGCTTTTAACAGATGACGTCCTGATGTTAGCTTTGCTAACTGTCCCTGTCGGCCGCAGCCACTGATGCTTTCTAGACATCGTGATTTCCCATAACTGAATAAATTCTACACATAGCAACACAAAACTGCTTTGCTAGCTCAATCATGTTGTAACTAAGATATCCGCTGGCAAAAATATTTTATTCACGGACCGTTTATTGAGTTATTACCTTATTTTTATACAGTCTATGGTTATTACAAACACTGCTAATGGCTAATGTTAACAGCTAACGGTTAGCCCAGCTAATAACCATGTTACTAATTACAAAACTTGCACACAGAAATAGCAACGTTTGTTCAATCATTGTGTTTATAGACTTTACAAACATCAGATTAGTCTACACGGTGATATAGTGACGTGAAAAATGTGATATATAGCTAAACTCTGCTGGTTTTCTACCCGAAGTATTTGTAAACAACACAGCGATTTCCTGGGGGCACCGCCGGAAGTGAAGGGCGTGAGCGATCGCCGAGGCCCCTGAACTTCCGTTAGTCGAAAAATTCCGGGCTGTGCCTCCAGAGGTAAAGGAAGAAGAAAAAAAACTTTTTTTTTTCTTCCACAAAAAAAAAACTTTTTTTGACTCAGCTCATGTTTCCTTCTGACTTCACCAACAAGGAAGGGCATAGTAACACCTGTGACTGATTCATTTCTGATACTGTTTGACCAACACAGTGAACCGTGTTTTCGCTATAATGTCATAAATGGATATTACCTTTCTGACAATAATTTTGTGTTATATTTACCCCTTGAAACCTGGAGTGACATCAGTTTTTGTGCTGTTTTCAGATGCCTTTTGCGAGTATTGAAACCTTTGAACCCTGGTGCGATTTCTTTCAAAAACATGGGGAAAAAAAGCAATGAGCAACTTGGAAAGACATGTCCCGTAAAGTACAAAAAAAAGTAAGTAGATTTAGAAAATTAATTTAAAAAAAAAAATTTAAAAATAGGGGGAAAAGGGAAAAAAGCTGGGGAAAACTATATAATTATTGTTTTTACATTTTAAAATTATGTTTCAGAAATATTCTAATTTTAAGCACTCTTTCCAGGTCATTTCCTTATTTGTTTTAAACTTTAATTTCATTTTTCACTAATTTTCTTGTTTTTAATTGTCTCTTTTTACTAATTTCTTGCTAATATTTTTTTGTTGTTCATTGCCTTCTTCCCATGTTTTTAAAAGAAATCAATGCAATTTGCTCAGATTTCAAAGGGTTAAAGATATTATATTTTGACAGACTGATTGAGAGATGTCCCAATTAGTTGATGTTCTGCTTTTCTGAAGTTATTTTCCTCTTATTTATTTAAATACAACAGCTTGTGCGCTGGATTTAACAAGAATTAAGGGCACCAAGGTCATGTCCTCTTGTACAATATATATTATTCCATAAAGACAATCATTTTGGAAAGGAGTGAATGGGAAAGTAGTTACAAACCCAAATCATTTAAATAATAAAATTACAGCTTGTGACTTTGGTGTATCAGAGAATGGTTATATGGACATTGGTAATATGATACAAGCTTTCTGTTACTGTCAAACAAAACCACATTGCTCTTTTTTGCCAGACATCTGTCAGAAGCAACATCCTGTTATATAGAGCAGGGGCGGAGTGGGCCCGAGGGTAATTTTCCACCCTCCGACGTCACACCATCCATAACAGAGGAGCCCGAAATGACTCCGGTCTCTGTGGCTATCATTCGAGTCATTTAAATCCAGGTGCTGCCTCAGCAGGAGCGGGGAGAAGAGGGCGGAAGATAAGTTTCATAGATCTCCAGGATTGCTTATGACTGCAGTTGTTAAAATAGATGGAAAGTCAGGCCAGATTTGACAAAGCACTTTGCTAGCATGCCCTCTGATCTGGATCACTGTCTCTGCGAGGCTTTGCCAGGACTGGGAGAAAAAATGTTTTCTTCACTTCTTCTTCTTTTCAACTGTAAAAGAAGTGGCCTGTTTGCTTTTAGGATTTTGTGGCAGAAAAGAAACAGACGTGATGTATAAAGTTTGATACACTGTGTGAGGTGCACTATTGTCTAAGACAGTGGTTCCCAACCTGGGAGCACAGAAGATCTATACCATCAGCACAGTTTCAAAATTGACACCCAAGATTAGTGTCACCAGTTCAGCATCTGACCAAATGTCTCCCCTTCTGTTCCTGAGTTATTATAGACACTGAGTAATGGCCAGAAAGGTGTTTTTGCAGAACAGTATGATGTCACAGTGAAGCTGACGTTTGACCTTTGGGATATAAAATGTCATCACTTCATAATTTTTGTTATATTAGACATTTCTGTGAAATTTTGTCATAGTTAGTGTATAAATTCTTGAGTAATGGCCAAAGATGTGCTCTGTTAGGTCACAGTGACCTTTGACCACCAAAATCTTGAAGGAACAGACAGCAGGCCAGACAGACAACCCAAAAAAAGGTATTGCCTCGGGCCACAGCTGTCGCCAGCACAGAGGCATAAAAAAGACATTGCCTAGGTCCAGACCTTTACTTCACCCACTCCAAGGAGTTGACTGATTTGTTTGGCATCATGACATGGTTGAAACAGCGGTTGAAACAGCGGTTGAAAAAGCGATCACTCCAACAAGTGCCACACGGGGACCAATGCCACTGTCAAGCTGTTGTTAAGTGTTGTCAAGCTGTGCCGACATCACCCAACATCGTAGTTTGTTTTTATTCCGCCAAACTCTTAAACCAGTATTTTGGCATGGCGGCTGCACAGGTGTGTTTTGAGTTAAAATGCTGTAAGATTCAGGCGGATATGTTGGTCTAAAATGATTGGTTAGGGAATATCAAATTCTTCCACACGGGAATCAGTTAGAGTGGACACAATGTCAAACTGAAGATGGAAATGGAGTGTGGAGACAATTCTGCCTGATATGCAGGAAAAAAGAAAGATACATATTTCTCTACACAAAATTCAAAATGTATAAGAGCTCCTGAGTCAAGACAATATCCCTACGGGGACATATGGTGTGGTATGGCATTGTATCGCATCATATTGTATTGTATCGTATCGTTCATCTAAAACTTAAAATTTTCTTATGAAATACCAGGTAGTTTTGTTTCATTTATTTTCCTTTAAAATGTTTTGCTTTTATTTGTTATTGTCTTTTATTAATTAACAGTTAAAAAAAATCTACTCCTCTGTTTTGTTGGTTTTATTGATTTTATTAAAATTAAAAATATTACTACTACATACTACTTTTATTATTATTATTATTTATTATTTCCAGCATTTTTATTTCTTGTGTGCAAGGTTTCACTGTTAACATCTGTACTGTCTTTGTATCAGCTTGTCAGTTATCTTTTAAAGCATTTTAAACTAACCTGGATGAAAGACACAATAAAAATTAAGTTTGACTGATAAAAAAAATATTCACAATCAAAATCAGAGTGCCTTTTATTGTCATAGTGTTATTAAAAAGTACAACAATTAGAAGTGCTACTCCTGTACGATGCTGACAGTTAACACCACATCCTCTATACATTCAACCACCCAATCCTCACACTTAGATAACAGACGATAAATAAGTGTACTAGGTAAAAAACTAATATTGCACATATAGTGTAGTAGATTGACGGTAAATAAACTTCCCTTTTGGTTTAACTTGTCACAAATAGTAGACATTATGAAGAGTTAGACTTTGTCTGTTTTAAGGGATCACAAGCCAAAAAGGCTTTAATTGGAATAAGAGGCCAAACCATGAGAAAAAAAGTGCCAGGTCAAAAGCACACACAAGAATCTGAACAGAGGTGCCTACAACTCACACAAAAAGTTACACACAAAAAGAAATGAAATATCAAAAGGCAAAAAAGAACAAAAGTAAACAATTTCTGCATTGACATCTAGAGCAGTGGTTCCCAACTGGTGGCTTGTGGTCCAAAAGTAGGTCACGGATCCATTCTGAATGGTCCTCAAGTGACTTGCAAACTTGTTAAGTTTGTAAGAAACACACTTTTTTTTTAAGTTCAGTGAATTTCCAGCACAGAGCTTTTATTTTTCAAGTGTGGTTTCCTGCTGTAGGGTGAATGATTAACTGAAAGCTACTTGACTGAGACAGCAAACAAACTCAAAGACATGGCTAACTGCAAGTATGACGCTGAATATTGAACTGTGTGGGCCTTGAACTAATGACTAAAGAGAAATCTGGACCCTGTGGCTGGACCAG